ACGCCCACTCATTCTGTATATATTATGTATACAGTGGAACCCCGCCTTATGGCCACTGGCTTAATACGGCCACCCCGTTATTGCGGTCAGCTCTTTTGGGTCCCAACGAAATGCCCATACATTTACTGTAAAATGTACCCGCTTAATACGGCACTCGTTAATATGGCCAACGGCCACTTTTTTAACCTAATTGCGGCCAGGACAAATAGGTTACAGTYTAGATCTTAGTGTAAATACTGTAAAGTTATTACTGCAAAATCTGTGATTCTTTTATTCATTCAGTTAACATTCTACAGTAATGCTTTTTGTAGAATCAGAATCAACACAACAACTTCAAACAGACAAACACTTACAGCGCGATGCGCTAAAGTATGTCAGCATTTATTGTATAGCGGTACAGTATTATTATTACTATTTTAAAAAGTAGTTGTTACTGTACTCAGTTTTCTCTTCTCTACTGTTATATCTACAGTCCTGTACTACTGTATRATTTAAAGTTTTAAAGTACTACTAAAGTTGAGTTATAACTGAGAGCCAAGAGCATCAGAAGTTTTAGAAACAATATTTAAAAATACAATATGCATTATTGCACTTAATTTGTTTAGTAGTTTCGTACTGATTAATAAAACACGTTTTTGACATTTTTGACAGCCAGCTTAATACGGCCACTTTTGAATGTCCCTTCAGTGGCCGGATTAACTGGGTTTCACTGTATATGTATATGTAGTGTTTAAAACACAAGTAGGAGTGTTTTATCAGGTATAAAAGCACGAGGCRTAGCCGAGTGCTTTTATACCTGATAAAACACGATCTACGAGTTTTTTGAACTGCTTAAAACACTCATTAACAATTTATAAGATTTTGGTTCAACTGGAGCCACCRTACACGATTTTTATACTTMGATAGAGATTTGAYGTCACRGGCATGCGCAACCAGATTCAATAGAAGCTCCCACACGTTGGATATTGCGTGCCAAGGCAAAGACAGGCACATTAGTCAAAGATCTTTAGGGTTGACTATGACCTTGATGAAGCTCTATGTCTTCATCTAAACTTGGATGCATACTTCATCACTGATGAAGTCATCCTCATAGTATTCGAGTGATCTTTATATAAAGATCACATGTGTCTTTATATAAAGACACATGTTTCTTTATATAAAATCACTTGAATACTAATGAAGAGGACTTTATCGGGTATAAAGGTTCATGCACGTGACATGTATGGTGGCTCCAATTGGACCATAAGCTTATGAATTATTAATGAGTGTTTTAAATATAT